AAATTTCTCTTCCCCTTTTTTTTTTCTTGATTTCTTACCTTTGGGGACTCAACACTGTTATATCAGTGCAACACTTCCCTTAGGAAAAGGATCTTGTCTGTTTAGACCAGTTAAATTTTGAAATGGGTAAAAAAATCTGAGAAAGTACTTTGTGCATTCCATAACTCTGATAAGTCCTTATTTATAGTTAAATAATTATACAAATATTTTTACATTTAAAATAATATATTAATCTCTAAAGATAAAAAATGTATTTTAATTTAAATATTTATATTATTAACACCAAGAGTCCATAACTCTGGCTCTCTCCACCAGAGCAAAGGCTTGATTGATCATTGAGCTCTTAATTAGTTTATCACAAGTTTACACACAAGGGTCTGCACTGAGTCAAATTTTCCTTCCTTGCTGTCGAAGAGAACAAATGTCTTCAGGCCCAACGGGTTATATCCCAATATATATGAGAGACTCAGGATATGGCTCAGTGCAAGGATGACCATGCTGTCTCCAGCATGGGTACGGTGAATCCAGAGGCAGGACTATTTGGATCATTTCTGGCTCAGAAGAAAGCTTATAGTTATAGCACTGGAACAGCTTTACTTTCTCCACTGCCCTACCTTGTCTGTGTTGCTCAGAAGCAGCTTTGTACTGGCTTTGGAAAGGGCTAGTCCTTCAAAGCAACTCAGCATCTTTATATGATACTGCTTTTCTGGGCTTAGATTAGGAGATTCGGATGCATTAAATGAAATTGTGTTCTTTTTCAGAACTTGTCAACATTTATGTATTCTTAGAGCAGCATCTAATCAGGCCTAGGTCATCCAGTGGAACAGTTTACTGCCTGATCACTGCTGGAAACTGGGGTTCTTAGGGGAAGTCTATAACAAACCCAGTTCCTAAGAAAACCTGCAGATCTGCCAGTTGCCATGTAATGGAGGCCTGCCAGGTCATGAGTGAGGTACAGGACAGGTTTGATAAATAGACAGAAAGCATTCTTGCCTGTGCCCTCTATTTTTACCCACTGCCAATAGTTCTTCCTGGGTATCATATTTACTTCAGCACAGAAACAGCAATTGGAGTCACCAGTGAAATCCTTAGGCCCTAGGAAGTGTTCAGAACACCACCAGAGAGTCTGACCACAGTCATCAGTATCCAGCAGAGCCATTTGTAAAGACGACAAGATTTTGGAAGGGCTGATAAAGGTTGCCCATCAGCCCAGTCATTAACTCTGAGGTCAGGAGGAGACAGAATGGCTGTAGCAGACAGGATTCCCCTGGGATCTGGGCTTCTATCTGCCAGGAATTTTCTGGCACTGTCCTGCACACCACCAGACTAGTCACCCACTAGTTTCGAGCCCCAGTGCTGGTATTTTCCTTCATAGTCAAATAACTTGGAAAGGGAAGAGAAAACAAGCCCTTCTTGTTCTGCCCCTTGAACACATAGCTCCCAGGTCCCTCAGTGATGTGAATTCTCTGTTCTGTCATTCTTTGCACTCAAGGCTTCCTCTGGCCGTACCAGCGAAGCAGAGACAGCGATGGGGCTTGTGGCTGGCCATGCCTACTCAGTGACTGCAATTCGGAAGCTGCATCTTGGAGAAAGGCTTGTGTTCTCTTTTAAGGCAGAAAAGCTGTTCATGATCAGGCTGAGGAATCCCTGGGGTAAAAAAGAATGGAATGGTGCTTGGAGTGACAAGTAAGTGCTGCAAATCCAGTGTCAAAGGAATGAAACCCTATTGGGGCCACTGGACATTAGATATGGGGTTAAATGCTGTTGAGACACACCTATACTCGGTGATGGCTGAACCTCTGTGCCATCTCTTCCCATGCAGAACATTCTCTGAGAACATGACCACGTCCTGGAGGAGTTTATGGCTTCTTGAACCTGAGTTTACTGTGTACATCATTATTCTGGCACACTAGAACATGGGCAGAAAAATAGCCTATGATTAAGGTGATGAATCAAGAACATGGGGCTTGCTCCCAGCTTCACCACTGAATTTGTCTATGACTCAGTTTCTCATCCATAATTTCTAGCTGCTGGTGATGGTATATGTCTTTTATTCTGAAATAATTTAAGTGACTGGTGAAAAATACTGTAAAATTGCCACATTTGTGATGTCTTGAATTAATTTATAATGAATTTTCATGTGGGCCATGGGCTTAGCAGGCACCTCTACAGCAACAGGGATTGCTGGAGGGGATGTATTCCATCATGGGTGATTTATACATAAAAAACATGCTACAGTTCAGCACTCTGCTTACCAGCCACTGTAGTAATTAACAATGCAATGTTCTCAACAGTATATTCCACACTTTAGCTAGCAAAAATCTACTATTTTCTAAGAGACTGGTCCAGGTGAAATGTAAAGAATATGCAGAAGAGATACTGTGTCTTGTTTACCTTAAGCCCTTGAAGTTCTCCACTCCCCCTTGTTTTGGTACACAGCTGCCACTCATGCCAGAGGCAGCACTGAGGACTCTGAGGTTGGACCATGGCTTTTGGCCTAACAGGATTAAAATGAGAATTTCCAAACAGGTTAAGAAAATGTCTGTTATGGTAAACAACCTGCCTTCTCTCCTGCTTTCACTGTTAGCCTCCAAGAACTTTTGGAAAGGGAGTGAGGAATTATGGTTCTTTTTGTCTAATACAAAACATCCGGGAAGGGGCTCACACTTGCCTGTTTTGGATTTCAGCATCAAACTGCTTGCATTCAGGGTCTGTGCTCCCTTGCAGTCAGGGGGAAGGCAGGTGCCTGCAGAGGCCAAGACACAGCACTAAGCTATATGCTTGTGCAGGCAATGAAGTGTCTGTGCAGTGTAGTGTTCCTCTGGAAACTGGACACTAGGATTGTGCTCCAGCAGTTTCTTCTCAGAGGCTCTCTGGGAAATCTCAGACATCAGGCATGTTTTATGAAGGTGATTAAAAGGCAGAGAGAATGCTCTGGTGTAAGTGAAGTGTCCAAAAATCTCCTGAGGGTGAAAACGAAGTTTCATTTGAAGGGCCTCGAAGGAATGGAGTCAATCTCCTCTGACCTTCCAAACCAGATGTTTAAGTGTTTAAGCATCCTAATGGAGGTTGTGACAAAGGAAATCAATAAGATTCTGCTTTAGTTGCACCAATTTTCTATTAATCTCTTTTTATTTTTTAATTAGCTTTCAAATCAATTGATGTTTTAAAATTCCTCCTGCAAGCCTCACACTTTCTTCCTGAATATCATCTGTCCTTTCAGGTACTCCAATGTTACTTTTTAAACAAAGAACCATGAGAGATTTTTACTTCCAATTGTATTCCTGGGTGAGAGTATTTAATTTATTAACAATCTTTATTGTTTTTCTTTTTTGTCTCCCTTTTAGTTCTGAGGAGTGGAAGAAAGTCAGTGATTCCGAACGCAAGCACTTGGGGCTCACTCTTGAGAATGATGGAGAGTTCTGGTGAGTGGGAGTGATGTGAAGGGGTTGGAGACACTGGCTACACTGAGTAACAGCCTTTAATCTGCCATTGAACAGCTTCTATAACAACTTCCTCAAATGAATAAGATTATCCAGTCCTAGCACAAGATCTGTTTCTTTCAAACTCTGACACAGGAGAATAGCAACAAAAACAACAACAACAACAACAAAATAAAAAACCTATTAAAGACTAGTGGAACAAAATTACTAGCTCTTAGTAAATATAAGCCCTCAAAATCTATTATCTATATTTAAGACATTCACTCAGAATCCAGACAACACAGGTGCTGGTTTGCATGACAGAATCTCAAATATTGAACTCATTGTCAGTCCTCTTTACTGACTGCTGTGCCTATCTGTAGGATTTCTAGGTCAGCCATGGCTGAGGTATCCATAAATAGAATTGCAGCCAATGAACTTTGATGTTCAGTGGTGTTTTCCAGCATAGGCACAAGAAGTGTTCATTATCTACAGAATCTCTAAAACTATTTTCTTAAAGCTTAGATACTTGTCCAGCAGCTTCTTCAGTACATCATCAATATTGCATCAAGTGATAGCAGGGCTCAGTATGAAAAGTCTTCTGTCTGCCTTGTCAGAACTGGCAACTGCAGAGTTTGGTTCTGGGCCATTAATACGGCAGGACATGATGGCAGTTCAGATATACCCAGCTGCTGGAGGAGGTGAATGTGTTTTAACTGCTCCACAGTCCAGCCTGTTGCTTTAGCAGGCACAGGTTGTAGCAGTAAGATGGTGCTAAATAAAAGCTGTGTCTGAAGTACAGAGGTTTGAGTTGTGCTCAGGGACAGATGTGACAATAAGGACTGTAATGATGAGAAGAGGATCATGCTTTGGTTGCAGGTAATCTCTTTTGCCTTTGCAAAATGTATGTTATCAAATCCAGCCTAGTAGACACAAATTGGAGATGCAACAAAACAGATCCAGGTCTGATGCAACACACTAAGTGATATTTCTCTAAATATGCTCTAAAATTTTGTGATTGTGGCTTCACAAGTATTTCCATATGGAGAGAATTCCAGTGAAACACTTTGTCCCCTGAACAGCTGAGCTATACCTCCTTTTAAATTATTGGAAGATTTTGCATGTTATTTTAGCACTTTGTATAAGTAATCCTGTTCATTTTCAAATAAACCATTACTTTCCTGATGTTCCATGGAATAGGATGACATTTGAGGACTGGTGTAAGAATTTCACCGATGTGGACATCTGCCGGATTGTGAACACCTCCTACTTCAGCATCCACAAGACTTGGGAGAAGAAAATGATGCGTGGGGCTTGGACAAAGAACTCAGAGCCCCTGCTAAATCGCTCTGGTGGCTGCTTCGATAACAAAGAGACCTTCCTTCAGAATCCCCAGGTGGGCATCCCTGTGTTTTGTGTGGTACTGATGTGTATCCAATTGAGTTGGGGCTCCTGAAGTATCCATCCTGTTTAGGAGTTGGCAGTGACAACTTGACAAAATTTCATTGCCAGTGTCTGTCCCCTGGGAATCTGTTGTGCACAGCATATTTCAGTGATTTCTGTGAAATCTCTCAGAAGAGTTTAGATAGTTATTTAGGACTGATCATATTTGAGGCCGATGAGTCAGACACATGAGGATTACTGATGTCCTGCCTGGACTTCTTTCAGTTTCCCAGTTGTAGAAAGGCAGCAAGTCATTTTCTAATGACAGAACTCCATTCACTTAATATCCTTAAACAGCCTGAGAATTTGATCTACTGTATTTAGTTAGTATCTCTTGGCATCAATCTAAGATTCTTCTAAGAATCTGTCTCTTCCACAACCTCAGCCTCTCATCAACATTACAGAATTTTTCTTGTCTCATCCTACCTTGTAATTTCAAGCTATTCAGTTTATTTGTTCATCCATTCCTACTCCATTTCTCACCTTCCTGCCTTTCTCCACGTTGTGTTTTCATCCCAGTACATGCAAATTCAGGCATAAAATTTCCATTACTGTCAGTGAGATTTGGGCACTTACTGCATTAGTTATTACTTTGAAAATTGACCTTTCCCTTCTGTTGTAATTCACTGCATGCTTTAGATTAATTAAAGATGTTCTTGCATCTGCTTCTCTGCCCTTGCAAGGGAGGTTTCTGCCAGCATCCCTCCAGTTTCACAGCAGGAGACTGGAGCAGTGCAGCCTCTGCTGTTCAAATCAGGAGTGGATCTCAGACTCCCAGCTCACCCTGTCACATAGGTGTAGATGCAGAAGCAGTTCTTCACTCTCTGTCTTCTGGCAGTGCCTCATTCCCAAAGGGTGATTTTATTCAGGTATTCATTCCCCTGTATGATTCTGGATGTATTCTAAGTGCTTGTCTAGATCTCATTTGTAAGCGTTTAGCTGACACAGAAAACAAAATATACATGTTCCATTTGAATTGCCTGATGCAATAGAAATCCTGTGTTATCTCTAGGGCAGTTGATTAAAAAGCTCTTAATGGCAGTGCTGGAACATAATGACATTATCTTAGGGCCATTGTAAATTATTGTGGCACACACTACCAGAATCTAGAGATAATCTCTGTCTGTCCTCCCTGACACTGAGGCCTCTTGTGAAGTTTATCTGTGCAGGGAGGGATTGTAACACTTGCAGTCCCTTTTGATAAGGGAATGTAAATCAAGCATAAGTGTATTCCTACAGTGACCTGCTGACTTCCAGATTGTTAGGACAGCGGAAATGTCATAAGATGTCAAGACAGTCACCACTGCAGAGCCCTCTTGGTTCCACTTGTTTCCTCTTGTTCCCCTTCCACACCTCCATTTGCCCTGAAACACTCTAGGCTACCTGACAAGGTAGAACTGCATATGGTTCAATAGGGATAAGAATTAAAATGTGCCTTACTAGGTGTTGCTGCGTATTTGCAACTCACTTTTTAGATTCTCTCTGCAGAGGCTCTTTACAACCCCTGGGACTCTCTTCAAGATTCTGTGCTTTTTCTGTCTCAATGTTGACATAGCACACAAATAAGACTACAAAGAAGCATTGAATTTATACCAAAAACCCAGCCCAGAGTAGGAAGTCCAGAGTAGGAAGCAGTAGTTCAGTAGAAAGCCAATCTGGACAGTAAATACTGTGACCAGTTCCTGAAGTCCAGAGGCTTGGGAAGGTAGGGATTTTCTTTGCAATACTGCTGTGCTTCTGACAGCTCTGCCAGAAGTTGATGTTCTCTCCATGTGGGTGTGACACTGCCTGGGACAGCAAGAGTCAGGGATGGGAAATGGGTTGGGACCTTGTTCTGCAGAGCTGTAACATGGAGGGATGCAGATCATTCTATAACCAAGGCAATCTCAGTATCTACCTCTGAGCAAAGCTCAATAAGGATTTGTATTTTGGCAGCTCATGAAGGAGAATGGAGAGGGGAACTGAACCAGTGATGACATTCCTCTCCATGCTGTCAGAGACTTTTGGCTTAAATGAGAACATGTGGTGCACATGGTACTCAGCTGTACACTGCTGCAGGTTTATGTTTGTATTTATTTCCTTCACATTTAAAGATCTCTGAGAACTAATGAAAACAGCATCTGTCTAAACTTGGTGTAAATGGTGTCCTCTTCCCTCCACTGGTCCTGACAACTGAGGTTTGCCCGGTGAATGCACAAAGCAAAATTTAAAGGTGTCTCTATAAGTGAACAAATTAGTTTAATTCTTTGTTGCATAAAGAAACACCTATCTGACTTTTTTGGCACATACTTACTCATGAACTGGTCTGGTAGTGATACTTAATAATGTCAGTATTCAAGTGTGAATTAATGAGATGGGAACTGCTGCTTAAACTTGAAATAAATTCCTTTGGTCTTAAACTCAAGTTGATTCAACTTTACTATAAACAGTTTGGATAAAAGATTTAGGTGTTAGAGATGCAGGAGTCCTTCTTAGCCCTTTATACTGGATATCCCTAAGACTTTCAAGAAAGCCGAGAAGTCCACAATTAGCATCCTGTCATTGTATCAAATTGAAATTGTAGATGTGGAACAAAACTGTGCATTTTGTGGGGTAGTTTTTTGTTTGGTTTGTTTTTTTCTTAACTAAGATTTGCACAATTCCTTCACTTGCAAATCCTGTATAAAGATGTTTGAAACTTACCGGCCCTGTTGAGATAGTCAAGTAAAAGAAGAATTAAAAAAATATCAAAAATCCTATCTGAAATCCGTTAGTTTATTTTTTTATCTCACTCCTGATTTATATATAGCTAAATAAAACTTAATCTCATCTTTTGCTTTCAAATGAGATGTTCTCTCCTGCTGCCTCAACAGCTGTTTTGTAACTTTGTCTCAGGCTGTCCTTTATGTGGATTCATAGAAACATGAAATCATGGAATGGTTTGGTTTGGAAGACACCTTAAAGACCATCTATTTCCAACCCCCCTGCCACAGGCAGAGATCCCTTCCACTAGACCAGGTCGCTCCAAGCCCTGTCCAATCTGGCTGTGAACACTTCCAGGGATGAGGCAGCCACAGCTTCTCCGGGAAGTCTGTGCCAGTGCCTCACCAGGGAAGAATTTCTTTCCAATATCGAATCTAAACCTGCTCTCCTTAAGGCCATTCCCCCTTGTCCTGTCACTAGGATTACCTATTTCAGTGTCTTTGATACTTTTCGTTTAAAGTACCTTATTATTAGCATTAATTTTCAGCCGTGAATTTCTGGAAATGTCTATTATATGGAGATCTTTCCTCTCGCCCCCAAATGTATTTCCATTTGCCTTCTTTGTATGCAAGTATTTCCTTGGTATTGGCATTATCCTCGGTATCCTGA